CCTCTTGCAAGGAGATTGGCTGCAGAAAAAGGACTTGATTTGGCAGTATGTATATTATAATTCTTTATGAACCTAATAGGTTTTCATCATACCAGAAGTAATTGTATTATGATGTTTTCATGAACAGTAACGTAGTGTCTTCTGGGTTCAAGAAGTTCACTGTGATAGCCATATAAATGTAATTTTTGTATTCTTTCAGAAAATAAAGTTTTTAATTTAAAATTAAGTTTTTTCAGCCATACAAAAAGCTGTGAATTTATTGTTCTGTGCAGGCTAAACATGATCAAAACTCAAAATTCTGAGAATAACAACTATATTTTATTTTTTCTAGGAATTTGTTGTGTTTCGTTTGCAAATAGATATTTATTCTTTATGTAGTTTTGACTGGAATGTGTATTTTTAAGGCTGTGGGTTCGGGTTCTGGTTTATATGGATCTATAACAACTGCTGACCTGGGGAAAGCACCTGTTGCTGCTCCTGCAGCTGCCCTTCCATCCGCTGCCCCAAGTGGAATATACACAGACTTGCCAGTTTCTAGCATTCGAGCAGTTATTGCAAAACGTCTCCAACAATCAAAACAGGTGTGGCCTTGTAATTGTGTAATATAGTGAAATTTCCATTTAAGGTTTATATATAATTTCTGTTTCTTGTCTGTGCTACATGTTCAGGCCATTTTAAGTTCTTGATATAATGGTCCCTATACATTAATCAGTTATAAATTATAAGTCACAAATCTCCTTATTATGTAATTTTGTTCATTCTCCAGTCACATCATTTCCCTTAGAATTAATGAAATTTCTGCTGTTTCTTGCAGACAATACCTCATTTCTATTTGTCAGCGGACATAAACATGGACCAACTTCTGTCTCTGAGACAGAAGCTCAATAAGTTATTGGAAAATGATGGTCTCAAACTTAGTATCAATGATTTTATCATCAAAGCAGCATCACTGGCATGTAAAAAAGTTCCTGAAGCAAATTCAGCATGGATGGACACAGTAATTAGGGAGTAAGTGCTCTTCACTAAATTTATCTTTTAGAACATTTACTTCCTCATTCAGTTTGATCTGTTCCCATTTCTTTTCATTTTATCCACACATTTAATTTACACAATTATATATTGACACATTTGCTGCTAAACTTAGCATATGTTGATTTAGCAGAGAGGCTTATATACTGCCAACATCAATTTATGTTGATATAGCATACCCCTCTCTATAATGCGAAGCAGCAAGACAAATTGTTCATGTACCAAGAAATGTGATAGAAACAACCTGGAAGCCATTCATTCTATGCTTTGTGGTTGGAGGTGGTCACATGCATAACATAAAATTTCCCATACACTATGTATAATACACTATGTACTTTGTAATTTATATATGTGGTTGAGAATTAACAAAACTTACATTAATTTTAAGTAAACCATTAATATGTAATATACTGTAAGGCGATTTCATTCTAGTTCCTTTACATTTTTATCTTATCAGGTTTACTTCTGTGGACATCAGTGTAGCAGTAAGCACAGACAAGGGATTAATAACACCTATTGTGTTTGCAACTGAAAAGAAGGGGTTGGCTGCAATTAGTAAGGAGGTGAAATCTCTGGCAGCAAAAGCACGAGAAGGCAAACTTCAGCCACATGAATTCCAGGTACAGTTTTACTGTGTTACTATAAGTACTAAACTGCACAAGCATAACAGTAAATCGAGTTATAAACACAGAAAGGAGAGAGTTATGATCATTTTGAAGAACTTACTTGTCCAGTATGCCAAGCAAATGTCAAGACCGTGTCGTTAGCCCTCTTGCTTTGTGTATTTTTGAGGTTTTGGGTATGATTCTTGGCCTAGAGGCTGACTGTCCCCTCTTTGGTTATCTGTCATCCTCCTCAGTCCTTCCAGGCAAATTACTACTGTAAATTTCACCATTTTATTAATAATCATGATTGTTAATAATTTGGGGGTCACAGGTTTGAATCTTGGTCCAGAAACTAGTTAAAAATTTAATTCAATAACTTTGACGTAGCTTAGAAATAATGTTATTGCTTTTTATATTTTTTAATCACATGGGATATGTATTATAATGAAGTATGGCTTATGCTGTCTTGTGTACAATTGATATTCCTCGGGTTGTTTTGCAGGGTGGAACATTTACCATTTCTAATCTGGGTATGTTTGGTGTGAAGAACTTTTCAGCCATCATTAATCCTCCTCAGGCTTGTATTCTGGCTGTAGGAACAAATGAAAAAAGACTTATACCAGATAAAAACTCAGAAGTAGGGTAAGTACTGTGTTCTTGAAATAATGCACATCTAGAATAATAGTGCCACAACTGCTTATATTTTGTGCCAGTATTTTGGAGTCAGAGTTGTTTTAAACATTTTATAATAAGGCTACATCCATAGTTTCTTTCATTTCAGTTAATCCTTATAAGATTTGAGCACTTAAATATTCAGTATAAAACTTGAAATTTCTCACTTGTAAAATTTTAGTTATGTCCCTGTTGTTCTAGGTGTGCAATATTTTGTGTCTCAATAATATTCATTACAAAGTAAATACAGTAGGGCAAAAACACTTGAAATTAGATTTTTATTGCAGAGAGCCAGATTCAGTACCTGAGCTATGATGGAAAAAATGGCAAAAGGGCAGTTTTTTCTCAAAGTACTTTGGTTTTTCCCCACTTTATCATTCTGTAATGATTCACACTGTCCTTGCAGTGTGCTGCCTCAACTGTACTATAAAATCAAGTGAGCTATATTGAAGATCAATTAAATTCGATAGACATGCCAATAGAAAGGCAAAAAATATAGTAAATCCTAAAAACAGAACAAACATTCCATATAATCCACAAGTGGTTAAAATTATTTTTCTGAGGACCAGGAATGGCATAATAATATAAAAGTAGGATAACATTGTATGTTAGAAATTATTTGGTATAAAATTAACAAGTTTCAGTATGGCTGAAAATCATGCAGTTCGGAATTGGACATTTTACCAAAGCGGCAGGTTTTTGCAGACGCCATAAATTTTCATTAGTGTCACATTCTAAGAGTCATCTGTTGATAATGGCTGGCTTTTGTGAATATGGTGTTGCTTTGACATTCCAGAAAAACAGAATTTCTTGACCAGCTGAATATGTTGGTGTTCAAGAGGAGTTAGTTACAAATGAATGAATTTTTACAGGCACTGTAAGAAGTAAGAATGCTGTTGGACTGTAGTGTCTGGTTTGTTGCAGGTTTAAAGAAGCAGAATTCTTATCTGTGACACTCAGCTGTGATCATCGTGTTGTGGATGGGGCTGTGGGTGCACAGTGGTTGGCCAAGTTCAAACAACTGCTTGAGAAACCACACACCATGTTGCTGTAATATGTGCAAGCCAGGTCTAGTCTGTGGAGATAATTATTAAAGCCATATGCCCTGACACAATACATGATGTAACAGGAAACAGCCCAATTTCTGTTGAATAGCTTCAAGCATCCATTTACTACAGTGATCAGTGAGATGTGCGGTCAAGACATCTGCTGGAGTAATATATTGGCAAATAAACATAGCAATGAGCTGAATTGTTTTGGTTGCTATATATCATTTTGGTTTCTTTTTAATGAAGAACTACGTTTAAACCAAGATTAATTTAAATCTGTAATTTTTAAAAATAGTTTAAATGTAGTTAATTTAATTTTGAAGAGACATTATGTTGTATACTGTACAAGCAGTGTCAGTTTTCCTTCATAGTACAAACCTGAATAAATCCTGGAATGATCAGCATTTTCTAGATTATATTTATGTTAATTAGATCAACTTCAGCTTGTGAGGTGTTCATAATTATTCTCAAACAAACCATAAGGTAATATGCAAAATGTTTGTAACATAATTAGATGTATATATAATGTATTTAAACTATATTTACAGTACACAAACTTAAAGCAAAACTTGCTATAAAGATTTTATTTGGGATGATGTTTATAATGTAGTTGGTTAAGTTACACAAGTAAACTCAATGTCTTTCAATATAGTCTGCAACTGATATACAAGGTAGGAATTGACCTGTGGGTGCTGTCTTCGTATGACAGCAATAGGCTGATAATCAGAAAATCATTGATTTCCACCACAGGCTTTCTTATTGACAGTCCTTACTGCATGTTAAATATATATGGAAATTGTGAACATTTCAAGTGTTGTTACTGACAGCACAAGGCAATTAGACCTTTTTCCTGCATGTTTATAGAATAACTGGCAAGTAGATTATGAAAGTTTTTCTAAAATGCTGAAGTCTTGCAATGGATTGCTTATCTTCGTTTCTGAATAATTAAACAAGGTTTGGTGTAGAGAATAGAAAATTTACTTTTAGAATTTGATATTTTCATAGCAGTGAGAGTTCACGTGTCCTGGGTTCTTTCATGTAGTCTTGTGGTTGTATACCACAATTTTGGAGGAGCATGATTCTAAATTTAGGTTTGAAGTGAGTAGGGTTAGGCAGGGCTGGATTAAGGTACTTGTAGGCTATAGACCCTTCTGTTTTGTAGGCTGTTTGGTGGATGCATCAATTTTTATAGTGAGAATGTTGTTCAAAAATATCTTGAATAATTTTCTCAGCAAAATGGTATTTGTGACATTCTATGTTGGTCTCTTGTTTGCATATTGTGCTGCTACCTGAAGTTTTTGTAGGCCCTAGGCACAGTGACTATTGTGCTTATTGGTTAATATGGCCTTAGGGTTAGGGCTTGGTGATTGAACTCAATAGCATCTCCACATCATTCTCTTGATGTCTGAAGCAGAGATGGTCTCTGAAACATTGGGCATTTGCCCACAATTGACAGGGCTTGCTGCCTGAGAAGATCTTGTCAAGGGTTGGGGCTTTGATGGGTTATGTAAGGTTCAGGAGAGAATTGAGTCAGGTAGCACATGAAGACTGGCCAATGAGAAGTTGAGGGGTGATGGAGCCCAGTCTGTGCCAGTAGCACAGAGGATTAGGAAAGTAGCCCTTTTCAGTCAGGGCCACTAAAAGGAAGGACAGGTGAACCAGAGGTACATGTCTTGTCATTAGAGAAAACCTACCATTCTTTCAGGGTGTGAATAAGAGGCTACCTTGACCTGCTCAGGGAGAACCCATCATGTCTATTCATGTTGGCATGGAGGTTGTTCCGTTACTTCCCGTTAACCCTGTCCATCTACCTCTGGATTTCTTGGCCAGGATACTGGTATCATTTAGCAGGATATTATGATCAGGATTGATATGTTCAGCCATGGCTGCCTTCTCCTAATAATAGAGCTGGTTATGGTGATGATGTGTTTTGACCTTGGTTTCAACAGAATGGCAAGTTTGTCCAATGTAAACCATCCCACACTTGCATGGAATGCAGAGATCTGAACAATTTAGGTTCAAGTTACCTGTGATTGTTTTTCTGTCTTTTAAATTTATTCTAGGCTATTCTAACCAGAAGAAGTGTATTTGATATCCACCCTCCCCCATTATATGTTGTGCAGGGTATATCAAATATAACATTTCTAAACTGAGAGATGGAGAATAGTAGATAATGTACTATAAGACTGCTATATAATACCACTCTGATATTCAAGAATACATACTACAGAGTTCAGTTAACACTGAAGTGAATTGAGTCGCCTCAAGTTATTTTGTTACATTAACTTGACTTCATTGTCTCATATTCATGATGTAACATGTTAAAGAACTAAAGTGCAAGCAATTTTAGGATATCTTGGTGAAGCAGAAGTTTCACAGAAGTTCTTGAGTTTTCTAACAACACTGTGAGGTTAGTACTTACAGCTTCAGGATTTGCTCTGTATCACTCAGAACATTTTAAAGGGCTTCATTGAATGTGGATCCTGCCCTTTGCTTACCATTTAAACAAGTTCTGTGAAAGCAATTGCTCTAATTCTCTGAACATGAAGTTAAAAGATTTCTTTAATCTAGACCAAACTCATTTCTTATCCATGGGTACTGTTTGGGACACTCGTAACATGTATACAAGTAGCGGTCAGCTTGTAGGACTCGACTGTGCAGTTTGCAGCTCTTTCCAATATTGCAGGCAAATTCATTTGACTCCAGCTGTAACAAGTTGCATTCAAATTATAATCTAGTTTGTGTAAATCCAATACACTGCAAGCTTGATGAATATGTCTTGAGGTTTAAAAAAGGTGTTCAGAAAATATGCACTTAGCCAAACAATAGTAAATCTGAATAGCTGTCTAGCTAAAGACGACTTTTAGACAGTTATAATTACCAGACATTAACAGTTTTCTCTTACAGATGTACCTTATATATGCACAGTTTTATATATGCCTGTTTTGTCTGTGGGAATCAGTTTGTACTATTATCAGTAGAAGTATATTTGGCTTTGTCTCAAAAAAAGAATATCCTGCACATTGCCGTAACAATGTTCATGTTTCACTGGGGAATTTTTATAGGACAGTGCATAATTTTGAATGATGTTCTATTTCCAGCATCATTTTGATTCTTCTTTTTACTCATACCGTCTTTGTTAATCATCATGATGATAACCCTTGTTGCAGAACTCTGAATTCAACAGATTATTCTAGTACAAGTTATTATACTTAATTTTTACTCCCATGTAAATACAGACCTGTCGTTTGCAGTTCCAGGGTTCAAATTGGTTTAGTTGATTAACTGGTATTGGTTTCTTCATCCATTCAATTGCTTGCCAGTTTGTCACAAACCACACATCAGGAAGTTTTACCATTTCATCCATAAATTTCTGTAAAATGTACAATATTATAGCATTTAGTCATCAATTCATCTCTAAAATGGTCTTGTTTAGATTGCCTTAAAATCAGAATAATTACACTTTTTGTTATTTTGCAGAGTTCATGAAATTTTATTAGCCTTACAATAAGAGATTCAAAGAAAACAGGACAGCCATATTATTTAACACTGTAACTATGTTAACTAATGTTCTGATTTAAACTTTAAATATAAGTTTTCAGAATGTATTTGGCACAAAATATCCTATTTTAATTTAGATTAAAATTAATATCTGTGCCATATTTCTCATTTATTATTATTATTATTTAAGAAGAAAATTTATGAATAATTAAGTCTGTGACTTGAGAAGTCTTGAACATAAAATTACACTGCATTGAGAGTTCAGAAATTTCAGTAAAAGTGTGATATAAAATTTCACATGATTTTAAGAATAAATTGGTTGGTTGAATTTCTGAATATTTCACATTCTATCAATTTGTATGCCTTTATTATTAAACATGAATGAAAGGCCCAATTTAATTGAGTAATTACACAAATAGTTCTTGTATTTCCTTTTCATGATGTTTTGGATAATTAAGAGAAAATGTGTAAATGGATGTTCTCATTTCCAACAAATTATATGCAACAACAATGAGGAATTCTGTGAAGATTCCTGCATGGTGAAGTTATGCTCTTTAAATGTATATATGAATTAATGAAATAACTCTTACCTTAAAAGCTGCAAGATATTCTGGTTTTCTAAACCAAGTTGTATGGAAGTAAAGTCCGTATGGAGCTTTGTTAGTGTTGTAATGCCGCTTGAAGTTGTGAATGAGCATATTGTATACTTCATCCCCTGAGAGGTGGGGTGGACAACTGTCTACCATAGCACAGGTGTATCCCTAGAGCAGGTACAGACACTCATGCATTAAAAATTTAAAACATGTTGAAGAATGGAGATCATGAATTCAGTATTTAATACTTCCTTTGTACATATGAGAAGTGTATCATAAAAGAAAAGGCCTCATATGTAGTGAGCTTGGCTAAACATCAGCATGTACAGGGCCAATACCAATAACTAATACTGAAGAGGTAGAAGTGGCTGCTGAGAGTGTCAAAAGTTGAGCTGGCTGTTCAGGATCAGCTGCGCCCAGTCTGATTAAAACATTTGTAAAGTTTTATTAAATATGAAAATACCATAATGAGAGCAGCAAAGCAGAGGAATGGAATGAGAGAACTGAGCCAAAGGAGAATATGAATATAATAGCTCCAAGACAAAAACTTTTCCAGAGATCAGGAAAGCTCTTTTTGTTTTATGATAATTTCAATCCAAGGGCTTAACTATTGACTTGATTTCTTGAGACATTTCTATAACCCAGAAACTCGTACCTCAATTGCCAGCTGATTCATCACCATCTCCCAGATACCAGCATAGGAGCGGGAGGGGCAGCGTTGTTTGTTTCCTGTACACTGATGTGGAATCTTATGATCCAATGTGTAAGGCCACAGTGGAGGGTCTGAGAAAGGAGCTACCATAGAGGCATCATAAATAAAACCGAATTCCTTCATCATAAGGAACTGACGATTCCAACCAACTCTTAAGAATGGCACTCTCATCCCTGGAAAATAAGAAATTTAATTATGAAGATGGGTGTCTTCTAGGTTGCCAATGAACTGAGCTGATGATGGAGGCAGCAAGCACCTCTGAAACACTGGTAAACTTCTACCAGACTATATGGCACTACAACCGAGAAGACAGCCATCTTCATACTCGCTATTGTGTGAACCTTAAATCCTACAAAATGCAATTATGTTACAGTACTTGACTTTAGTAAAATTGTTATTTCAGTGATACAGTTTTCTGGCATTTATTGCAAAATTATATGACGACATTATTGGAACAAAGTGTAGTAAATTTAATGTATGAATTTTTGTAAAGCGTTAATATTGTTATTAATGAAATTGTAATCATCAAAGGTACGTCATGACATCCATGAAATGTAGCCTACAGAATATTTTGATTACAAGTGAAACAAATAGAATGGAAAATATTAGCCATTCACTGTACTAGCTAAACTAGCAGAGAATGAATTGGTTATTCACAGATGCTGTTTATTTTCACTTATTTCCATGGTGCGAAGTAAGATAAAGTACATAAATAGTTTAGAGAAAGTAGAATGGCTGTATTATTGAATATCGTAACTAAACATATGAATAATTAGCTTTTTTAAGTTTACTTGACATAAATTTCATTTCTCAAAGATGTGACATCTTCTAAATGTGGATAGAGAACTATTTAAAGAAAATTATGCATCTGTGTCTGCTTCTTGTTTTGTGAATAATAAAATTATGAAAGATTTTTTAAAAAAATAAACATAAAAAATCCAGAAATAAATTATTAAGTTAAAAAATGTATTATAATGTGGGTTGTGAATTTTAACGTTAATGCCATATGTTTTCTCTTGCAGAAAGATTTTACTTCCCATTCAGTTGAAAATCTCATTTTTATTTTTAGTAACCCTCTTTCTTCTTTGAAGAACATTAATTATCACTGTAATATGTGTGTTTTTATTACATTGAATGTTTCTTGATTGATCTGAATTTACATGCTTTAAGTCACTGTGACATCTATAGAAGGAGAGTAGAGAGAAAATCAAAGTGAAATTTCTAAGAAGGAAAATTACTGTCTTGACAAATATAACCCCTGCTATAAGTGAAATTTTTGAAATTGTAATGTATGTATGTTTTTATGTTTGTATGCCCGTCTGAAATACACTGCCACATGAATAAATATGTAAGTACAGCAAATACTGTGTAGTAATTATGGTATTGCTTTTCTGTGTGCCCTTATCTTTTGAAATCACAAATATGTGAAGTGCAAACCTTCTTACAGACATTTAAATTTATGAGATGTTTGAGAATCAGAATAGCGAGCATTTCAATTTATTATAATTTTATGAAATTATGTATAATGCATAAAAAAGTCACATACTCAAAGGATACTTGTATCTCACTGTAACTCTCATGAGGACCAAATCCTGCAAATGACTTTTCTGAATAGAGTACTTTGGTATATCATTTTTCCCAGCACTTCTAAGCAATTTGATTAAACCTGTAAAATTCATCATCCTTCATGTATAGTTAACACTGGGCTTTGAAGTGTTAATATACCCCATCTACACCGAGATCTCATATACAGTAAGGAGCATAACATGTATATTCAGTAACCAGAAGCCCTGTCTTACCTCATTCCTGAATCTTAACAGAAGCCTAAAACTGTAATGAATAAAGGTATATTTGTCAGAACTAACTGAAGTTTAAATTGTTCTGTTCACTATAAATCTTATGACTACAGAAGAAACATGGTGTACTTTTTTACTGCTTAATCATAGCACAAATTAAATATATTAGTAAGATTAGATCAAGTTTTATTGTCATGATATTCAGCAATAATTTACCCCTAATATCCTCCATTCGCACACCAGCAAAGCGGTTGATGATATTGGCTTGGCCCACCATTTCGTCAAACCAGTCTTCTATTGTAGCATTACTGCTCCACCACTCTTCAGGCCCTCGGTGTCTGTTCAGGAGAAATTAAATTTGGATGAAAAGTGATCTCTCAGATATTACAGCTGAGAAATCCTCAGTAAGCACACACATTAAGGAGACTGTTGTGTCATTATTCTTAGGTATCCAGCCCATAATTATATTATAATGAACTAGTTGATCTAGCCTCAGATCTGGTTCAGGTCTGAGCCTACCTCAACCAGGTTGGCCCAACAGTTGTGGTATCTGTTATCTTCCCTTTCTACCTGATGATGGAAGCAGAATCGAGCTTCTGACATGTAATTTTATTTTTTTATAAGTTAGATGATGGACAAAGACCAAGAGAACAATTTTATAGATTATAACACACTGTCATCAGAAACCTTCAGACTTCATCAATGTAAATTATATTTCTACAGGTTGACAGAATGAAACAAAGAATTTTTTCATACATACTTCTTAATCTTTGCTGATACCGTGCTTACTGTAATAGAAGTGGACTTCCATTCTGCTGTTATAGCTTAATCTGACAAGAATACAGAATTAGAAAGCTAAACTTACGTGATTGAATGAACTGCAATTTCATGACCATCATTCCACAATTTTTGAGTCTGTTGGTAATTTGTATACTGATGTGAAACATAGAAAGTGCCACGGATTGGACAACCATTTGCGTTCTTCCTCTCTGGAATAAATAGATGTTGTGTGTAAAGGTCCCAGTTCTCAGAGTTGATGGCATCATCAAATGTCAGTATAATCATCTGTGGAACCTAAAACACACCAACAACTGTATTGAAAATAAAGAAAGCACAAAGTAAAAGTGAACATATGTACACAATACATTAATTTTATATGCATCACGTAAAGCGTGCATAACAGCAGAATATTTTACATGAACTGAGAATTTTATAATAATTGTCACACATTAAATAATTATAACAGTACTGTATTATATTGCATATATCTTAAAGAAACAGTAAAATTTCAACCTGAGAGAGCTCCATGTTATTTGGAACAAGGGTTCCATCTCGTGAGCAGAAGCAGTCTGGAAGTTTACAGGTGTGTGGATTACAGGGTAAAGCTGCATTTGGATCATGATCTGCATCTGTAACATTAATTTTACAATAGTTATTATTTTAAAATGAATGACAAAAATTACTTCATATACAGGGAGTATTCAACAAATTCAAGAATTTGTATGTATGTTTATATCTTGTAAACATGCTGCATGTTGGAAGAGTTCTGGCACATCTGTTCTTCTATAGACTCACTTTGCTACTCTGTAGTATTTTTTACATCAGTTCTTTGAAACCTCCACAAGAAATCATGAATGTGCTGCTGGAAATACTCGTTTTTAAATTTCTGGCCTCTCGTTTTGACTCCTTGAGTAACGGAAACAACTGGGAGTTAATTCAAGATTATAAATGAGGGTGTTCAAGCACTTGTTAAATGGGTTTGTAAAATCTTCAATTGTTACAGGTCTCAGCACAAAATGTATACTTTTGCCACTGTGTATCTGATTAATGCAACTTATGATATACCGAAGATTTCTGTCTTCTGGGTTGTTGCGCTGTGTAGTCTGGTCGATGTTTACCAACGTTTCAGAGGTCATACTGCCTACGTCATCAGGGCGATTATCAGACTACACAGCACAACAACCCAGAAGACAGAAATCTTCATACTCACCGCTGTTATTACCTCAAATCTTACTTATAATATACCATTTTAGGTGCAATTGTACAGGCTTCCCAAGGAGGAGCTGCTCTATGAATTTAGTTAATTAGTTGGGTCCTAGGTAATTTTCCTCAACATTCCTTTAGTCATATAACTTCTCCATATTACTCTGCAGCTTCTCTGCGAGAGGGGAAGCCTCTTGCAGAGAAATAAATGTAGTAGTTTATTCCATTTAACTTATATTACCACATTTGGGGACTCAAAAAATGCATCTTCAGAAAAGAATCTATAAAGAAGAATATTTTGACAATGACAGTTCAAAGAGTGTTTTCATATACAATGAGTTCCTTCTTTGGAGCTGGGCCTGAAATGGGGAACATGGAAATCCAGATACTGATATCTTCTGAAAAGTGTATTGTCAAGACAGTTACAAATAAATTGAGAGAACAGGTAAGGACGCAGTTGCTGCATCTGACAGGGATAACAATAATAACTTTAGACTGACATTGCTCACAAATATTGGAAGAAGTTCTGATAAGAGGCAGGAAATGTTTAAATTCAAATACGTACCACACCAGCCCTCGTCTGAACCATCTGCACAATCGACACTACCATCACAGAAAAATTCATTTGGTAAACATGAACCGTCTCCACAGCCCAAATGGTCAGGATTTTCACATTCAGCTGCTTCAAGTAATGGCTGTGGCACCTTTGCCTCTGAAACAAGTTTTTTGCAATTTATATTTTTAATTTAGTGTCCCTAATGTACGTATTTTTGCTGGAAGTTCCATACCTGCCTGCATATAATGCACATTCCTCTGCAGCCACAATAACAATTTCCATGCACTGATCTGAAATTGAACTTACTAAATTAGCAGCCAGATAAAAATATTCTGTAAACTACGTTTCATTGCATCTATTGAAATCAAGATACAGACGAATGTGTTAAATTTAAAAATAACTTACCTGCCACCACATCACAATTGTCTACATTTATCTTAAAGTCACATATCTGCCTGTTGACATCAAACAGTAGGCCTGTGGAACATTTAAATCCAAACACTTCACCATCTGAAAAGAAATAAATATTTCACAACAATGAGAACAATTATTCATAAAAGTAGAATATTTTGTGTATAATGGGAAGGAGAAATTGAGATTCTTGTATAGTTATATATAAAAAATATCTAAGTACTTCACATGTTTTATCTCCAAAGCTACTTTATGATTTTGATCAGATGGTATCACTACGCATTATTTTCGTTTTATTTCAACGGGTATGAAATGTTTCAAAATTCAACCTGAAATGTTGGTATATGGCCTGAGTTCGCGTGGAAGACCAACAGTGAGACCTAGCGCCTGCTGCGACTACACGCCGCACACTACTGACAGAGAAGTTGCCTCTACATTAAGGCGAATTAATTTTTATATCGTCCGTGTCACGTAAGAAGTTATTAAATGCATTTTAAAAGTTCAAAGTTCTTCTGCATCTAAACAACACTTAATGGAATACAACTCTGTTTCTATGTTAAAACGTCAAGATATCAGTTAGTGTCTTCATCTACAAGTTTCCGAACAAGTTACCTGGATTTTGACAAAAATGCCAGTTAATGACTTTTTTCATGACATCTACAATTTTCTTTACACGCTGAAGTTGTTCTGGAAAGTACGTGCGTGTCGATTTCCGTCTGCCTCTCCGTTCTTTGCATGTTACATATCCGAAACAATTCAGAGATTCGATGGAATATGGTATTGAGACATAGACTAAAAGTTGTCATGAAATTTTCATTTTGGTTCACATGGATACTATATTCTGTGTCACAAGACGATTTTCATGTTGTCAGTGAAATATTAGCTGGTGTGAATTGTTGGAAAAGTTTCTTAAAGTCTACGTACATGAAAAGTCTGTTTAAAATAGAAAATAATAATAATAATTATTATTATTATAAATATTTTCTTTAAATTTAAAATAACAATAACAGTCTAATAATAATTATAACTATGTATTAACATATTTACATTAGATGTTATAATTTATTATTATTTTATAAAATTACAAAGTATATTGCCTAAAATGTGGCGAAGAATCCTAATCCATTACTTTGTTTCAGTAGTATTTTCGTAGTATAATGAAAAATTATTTCACAAGATGGCACGTCACAAGAACACCTTTATATATTTCGGTAATGTATTTGGTACTTATACCCGCAAATATAATTTGGCACTGAAATTCTGGTAAAATTCCTGAGATTGTTGTTATCATCATTATCATCGTCATCGTGTACTAGACTTGAGGAACGCCATTGTTTACTCAGAATTCCCCTCACATCACTCACCGAGGCAGAGATAGTATTTGGAACACTCGGAGATGGTCCACACTTTCTCGGGCTCTACCTTGGGGTTGCGGTAAAACCTGCCATCCTCCAGACACGGAACTTTCAGTTTCAGATGGTAATGATCGATGTCCGCCATGACCAAACCTACTTCGAAGAAAAGTGATCAGTCAGACCAAAACACTCCTCGGGCTTCAAAGCCGGGGCTGGTCTCTTTATAATTATTTTTCTTAAGAATAATATCACTGTCATTATAGACCATAACCTCATTATGTTCTAAAGCAGGGTGGTCCAACTTTTTTCCTCGCTCGGGCCAGAATAGTTTCCCTGTTGGACCCAAGGGCCAAGAAACCCCTACTGTCACTATTTTTGCATTACTATTATTTTTAATAAAACTTATTCAAAAATGACAAATTACCATTGCATATGCTGAAATATAAATTTTATTTAAATGTTTACAAACTACTACAGAGTTGCATATTATTTTAAATTTGCTCCTGCAACAGCTTGTATCCTCACACTTTTTAACTGGAAAACTTACACAAATTATTTGAACTCGCTTCTTTAACAGCTTGTATCTGATACAGTAACAATTTGTACCAGTAGAACGTACATCTCATGCTTTTAAAGTCAATGGCTTTAGTGAGATCACTGAGCAGAATCTTCTTTTACCAGTGACGGAATATCAACATCTATTTTTGTTGTTGCTAAACGAAGGGTTGATAGTAACACATTCTTAGATAACGCGTACCGACATGTGGTATTTGTACGTAAAGCAGCAGACGAGATGAGAAACACAATTTTTTTCTTCAAATCCTTAAGAATGAATAAAATAAATGGATTTGTACTAACTAGTAAAAATTAAAAAATACTTTCGCGGGCCGGATTATAAGCTGTCGTGGGCCGCCAGTTGTACTACCCTACATTCCAAAGCAGTGGTATTCAACCTGGGGTACGCGTACCCCCGGAGGTACGAGAAGACATCTTAGGGGGTACGTGATATTTAAAAAATATAAATTATTTTATGATAAACACTGAATAATCAGTAATGTAATTTATTTAATTTATTTTAGAAGTACATTATATACTATGTATAACTTGAATTATACACCGACTTTGGGGGTACAAAGTTGAAGAGAAATTATATCTGGGGGTACGCGAACAAAAAATGGTTGAATACAATTGTTCTAAAGAATCCACTTTGTAGAGTGACTAAATGCAGTTCTTATGGGAATATGGAGGCTGATCTGTGAAATGCTCAACATTTCGAAGCATGTAGTTCAATCTCTGTTTATATTAACTCTGTACAAATAAAAGTCGTCCGTTCGAGAGATGTTTTATCTCAATGGAAGCAACAAACAAAATTTAAGTATCAATATATATTTTCACTGAATTTGAAACAATAATCTTAAAACTTTGCATACCGTGTAGTGTATTAGAATATCAAATAAGTAACAAACAACTATTAAATCCAGTTTGAACCATTTGGTTAAATTAATTTATTTCCCAGATGCCACTGATGATGACCCCTTGAGGTCGAAACGCGTATGGCAATAGTGTCTTTTTTATAGTGTTAATAGTTGTTTGTTACTTATTTGAATTTTAAACAAGTTTTAACGTAGCGCTTTTACCTTACTTGGAGACTATGCTTATTGTAATCAGAATATTATTATTAGAATCGTATTTAAGTTCAAGTTTCCAATTTAAAAGTCTGTCAAAATCGGTCACTTCATCAGAGACGCGTTATAATTTATGAAAATCTTAAAGCTGTCGCTTTCTCCCTTCGTATCTTTCTTTTTCTCTCCGAGCCTGCTGGCTAAATAAACGATGCGACCTTTATTCAAACTGACACACTTCTGAGAGCTCCAGTAATTACTTGCACAGCAGGTGAACTTTTACCGGAAGTTAACCGCAATTCGTAGTAGAAACGGCGTTTGAATAGAACATATGGGCATTTCGTAACCATAACAACTCCATTGCGCGGTCTTCTCATTCAGATGAGCAAAATTAGAAGGTTGGCAGGATGATGGATCTATGTTGTCTTTTTGAGTTCAATGCCGTGTGGATCTTTAAGTAGATACAAATGTTTCGGAGGAATAAAGTCTTCATATTAAGGTTTTTCATCCTACCTAGGAGACCACATTCTGCATCACAATTCAATGCAGCAGACCAACATAGGCGGCTTCAATGCCGTGAGAACCTCATAATTCCCAAGTTTAAATAAATGACGAAAGACTTGCTTTGCCAATGAAATGTGAAACATAGAATCCTAAAGCTGAACCCTATCCTAAGCCAGTTTACTCCAATCCACATCTTCACACCGTGATTCTTAAAAAAAATCAGTTTTAATATGCTCACCTCCTTACGGGAACAAGTCCCAATTTTATCTAAAAAAAAATTATATACGCACACAACTTACGCCATCGTACATCGGCACAAATCGACAGAATGGAGTGACTACAATTCAGTCGATAATTTTATTGCTTGAATGCAGTCCCTTAATACGATTAAAATCACGATAGCAATATCGAAATTTTGCATTGCTATCTCGTTTCAACTTATGTTGACATTTTGCTCTCATCGGATTTATTAACAGAAGGATTAGTTACGTACGAAGACTTAACAGACTACATTTAATTACTAAAATAATTAACAAACTTCCTGCCACACGTCCTTACGCAGCCAAACAAAACATTCTATGCTTTCACAGAACCGCAAGATTCATTACACCACATTCTATGCCAGTTTAATCCAGTTCACACATCCGCATTCTATTTTTATAATAATGATCGCGTTTGTATCATCTCATTCGGTGTGGTGGAGAAGAATTTGTTAAGAAAGGAATAATAATTATAATGATAATTAGTTCCTTAGTCCTGATTATTTGTAAATGACATGCCAACTCTCTGGCGCTTAATGAATCTCTTACCAGTATATAATAATGGAAAGTGAACGACAATGCAACAAACGGACAAAAGCGTTCACAAAATGAACGCGGTCAGTTAACTGAGTATGAGGAACAGAAGTGAGAGCGAGCAATGTGACCTACATGGGTACAGCGGACAACAATCATAACGTAACACGGCTCAAGGTAAGTAGAAACAAGCGTAAGACAAAGGGGTTATGCACAGACGATACTGTTACCACCAGGGAAGTGTAAAATTCAAAACAAAATAGAAGATGGTCATCTTCGTACTTACCGTCGTGAGAACTTCAAATCCAACAAAACAAAATATCTTGGAAAGAACTCTCAGTTTTTGCATTTTTATCATCTCATTTGCTAAAGAATACATTCGATTTTTAAGTTATCAGGTCTGAAAGTTGTCATAGTGACCGCCATTCCCTTATATTCATCCATATTGTTTCTACATTTTTAAATTCTGTAATGTTGTTACTTTTTAATTATTATGTAAATAGTTCGCATATATTCGATAATAATTCGAGAACAGCCGACAAAGGGTGGTCCGTCAGCTCGGAGGTTGGACGGTGGGCTAAAATTCCTCTCCATAAAATAACCTGTGTTAGGAATTTGCAGATGGCTGCCTTCTGGGTTGTTCTGCCATGTGGTCTGGTAAACGTTTACCTAAGTTGCCGCCTCCATCATCAGGGCGATAAGTAAGCCAGCCGTGCGACCATAGTTCCGTCAATTTATTAAGATATTTTACTACTTTACATACTTACGTTTATTTTTTTAAAAAAATTGCAGGTATTGTTACGTGCCGCGGAAAAATCAGCAGCAATAATAATATGTCAAATATATATGAGATTTGAGGCTCTCATAGCTCTGAAAATGTATGTCTTCTGGATTGTGATGCCGTGTCGACTACATTTCGGAGGAACATACTACCTCCATTTTCAGGGCTTGAACCCTGGTATTACAAGTCCACATGGCGTTACAATTCAGAAAGCTAACTGAGGCCACCACATGTGTCGAAGAATATGCAAGACCCGCGTATTTTAACTTACCCGCCAGGCACACTATCACTCTTATTGCAGCACAAACTCTCATGGTCACGGCCACAAACTCACTGAATGGCGGTCGCCAGCCCCACCGAACTCTTATATGTGACCTCCTTCTCGACATGACATAGTCATTATAACCCTTTATCGTACAACTTTTCTCGACTCGGATATAACAGTGTTTTTCCTTCATAGTTATCTGAAAACTGTACTGATGTCTTCCTCCTCTACTTCTACCTTCAAACGATCTCTGTAATTAGTTAAATGGCAGTGTTGTACTTTTAATTTCAGTATTTCATTCAAGATATTTAGGTGATCGTTAGCAGCGGTTTGTTCGTGATTCAAAATTTCAGACGACGTAACTGCAGACGTCGATTCGAAATAAAAATGTAACGCAACTGATTAATGAAATAAGCAGAGGCCTAGTACATATGAACTACAACGTAATTTTAAAAAAATTTAATTGGGACGGTAATAACACAATTAAGAAACTTAATTTCATTGAATGGTCCACAATTTTATTATTTGTTCATATTTACTTCTGATTCGTCATTTAAGAACATCCCTATTCCATTCGACTTTATTTCTGAAGATGTAATCGTTAAATATCGTACACACTGTACTTAGTCAACAACTTTTTGTTTGATTTAATACCTTACAAGTTTATGCCATGGGAATAAATCAGTACTGGGCATCAGACACGTAACAACACGCGTTCTAATCCATTTGCGTACTTTTTCTGTTATTTGAGAAATTATTATACAAGTTTATGCTTCGCCCATCGACTTAATCAAGGCATTCACCCCTTGAACTATATATATGAAATTGTAAGTTACTTACGCTCTTTATATTGATGATAATGGCATGGCCCACACGGAGTCTTGAGTTTAAGAGAACTAGGTGTACTACTGAAGGTGAACCTAACCAAACTGTAGTGGGCCATACCAGCCTCTGAATGTGTAAGTATCTGCCTGTAAATATTTCTGTGCCAATGGTATTACCGGTATGATAAATACTGCAAAGTCCAAAGATGAGCAGTTACTTTAAATATGTTTGTAGTCTGTCAGAATACACCAAGTTCACATAAACATTGATTTAAATAGAGGCACATGTACATATCAATTTAGCCCCCATTGTAAATATCGATAAACATTTCAAATAATACCTACGAGGAAATACAACTTAACATAATGCTTTAAGGGACAGACTGTGAAAATAATGATGTTTAATCTGCAGCTTTCACGGTGAGTAGGTAAAATAATTGCTCTCGGGCTATACTTCAGTTCCTCCAGGATGACGACAAAGATGGTTCTCGAAACGTTGGTTTTTCGCCGTTTATCCACCTGACACGGCTGCTAACCGGAGAATTTATATGTAAACATAGTGCTTTTTAGTGACAGCTTATAAACATAATACACTAAATTTTACAGCACAGAATTTTGAAAGGGACTGTACTTTGGTTGTCTGTTTTAATAACACACAGATAATGAAGAGGCTAAATTTTATGTAAATGTAAAAGTAATTAGATATTTTCGGAGTGGGCGATATTTTCTTCCACAAACTCTCTAGAAATGGCAAATACGTTTGCGTGTGATTTATGGTAATTATATGTATCACCTGGTTTAACGTTTAGTAACTCGACATCTTATCCACATACCCTCATTAAAGGTTTTGTTCGATTCTCGGTATAAACAAGACTTTAATAAACAAAATACTGAATTATTAGACATAATATTTCAAAATGGTTGTTGAAATTAAACGGGAAATTATTTATTTCGTATATTAATCCCTCGCCCTCTTTCTTCTGTATCCTTATCTCCTCTCCTTTCCATTTCCTTCCTCATCACTTAAAGATATCACAATGAAAATTAAAAACTTAGTATTACTCTGCAATAGTTAAAAATATCGCTCAAGATACGTCGTTACTCGTTAACAACGAAAACTACCAGCCGTGACTAACTCCACAGAGTAGAGCACTTCTTGAGACGTTAATAGTACGTTCAGCTAACAGAAATCGCCTGCCTTTTATGTAACTCGAAAGTTCATTGCCGTCTTCACGACAATCAGCCACTGGTCCCTATCCTGAGACGGATGAATCTAATTCATACCTCCAACTGCCATATACATCCAGGTCTTGCAAGTGGTTCTCCTCTCAAGGCTTTCAATCCCAAATGTTGTATACATTTCTCTTCTCCCCCATGTGTGCTACATACCCCACCCATCCTTCTTTATTTAATCACCCTAACTCAGAAGTACAGACTATCCAACCTAAACAGAACCAAAGGACATTTGGATAATACAGAAGACTAACAAAAAGGAAGAGGGGAAATATCAACTCAGTTTGTAATATTACGAAGAAAATAAGTCATCAAATGAAAAAAAAATCCTCTCAAAAATCATGTTTAATTCAATGTAGATTTGTAAATAAAAGAATTTATTTTCTTTGAAATTAATAACGGGCATTTCTTTGTGACCCGCCTTCGTTTTCATTGTGGCAAGGTCATTCCAGTGCCTGAACAGTAGAACATCTGCAGCGTCTCAGTATGTAAAATGTAGAAGGTGATTCATTCCACTACACGCTGAGTCGACTGTTGATAAACTGGAGCATTCCGACATGGCACGTCAGATGAAACGGAATCTCGGATAACCGAGGGTCAGAAAATCTGGACTCTACTGTAATTTATTTAGCAGTTCTAACAATATTTACATACTACTCGAAACTCATAATTGTTATAATGAATTTCTTTACCAGACTGAGACAAGGACATTATAAATAATCGTTTGAGCAAATTCAATCATCAATAACAGTTATGGCAACTGGCGGAGAAAATTTCCAGGTGTGACCTATATCACTCAAGGTCTGGTATTTGTCTCCTGTAAGATGGTTGTCCTGTGAAGAGCACTGAATATCAACTTTGTACTGTCCAGGGGTGAAGAATACAATGCTGCACTCATGATACGCACTGCCTTGTTCCTGCAGCTGAATACAAAACGAGTCTTACAGTCACAATAAACTCAAAATATGTCATTTAAAATACGTCTTTATACGGTAAATGGATTAAACATGCAACAGAAGGCCTCTCTTAATAACACCTTCACAATCAAAGCTCTGGTGACTGAGTTATTTCACTATACCCACTCAAATTGCAATTTACCTGATGATGGAGGCAGCAAGCACCTCTGAAATATTGGTCAATTTTCATGAGACTACATGGTGTGACAACCCTGAAGACAAACATCTTCATACTCGAAACCACGAGAATCTAAAATCTCACTGTCTCATAGCCGTTCCCACCTCACAAATGAACACCGTCACATCTGGGACATGCAGAGGCCGAGGAGATCGATCACATCATAACTGAAGTCTTTAACCACAATAACAAAAGAACTACACGAAGCACTGCTTAATAACAAAGCAGCACATCACTTACACTAAAATATTTCTTACCTCCGGAAGAAGAACTTTGGACGCTCCTGCATTCGCTAATCTTGTCTCCAGACGATAATTATTTACACCATTCTGGTGGTCCTGGTAGAACTGCACTGCCAAGCACACTTGCCACAGTGACCTCTCCAGGAAGTTGTGCACAGAGATGCCAAGCTGAAGGCATTGACCTGCACGACAACTCAGTTCTTCCTGAGGCTTCACAGGCTGTGAGTTCAGTGTCACTTCTGTCAAGAGATGCATGAACAGCTAAATGGCTGCGAGGGAATATATATATATATAGAAACACAAAACTTCATGAAGTCTGAAAGTTTCTGATAATGGTACATTAGAATTAGTCCATCATCTAAATTATAAAACAACAAAAGTAAAACGTTTCAAAAGCAAGATTTATCTTCAGGCAAAAACGGGTGAAAGAGAACAGAAAGCCTGTCTGATGCGTCCCCTCAAATCGGGTCAGAAGCTAGCTGACCCAACAGAAAGGTTGTTTTTGTACCACGCTGTTAATAGCAAGAGCATGGCCGCTATATTAGACTTTCCAGTGGTTAGACAAAATTAAAATTTTTATGAACAGTTCATTAATTACTAAAAAACTTCCATACAACTGAAGAAATTATCCATAATGAATGAACTATGCCCAAAAACACATAATTTATCAACAAAAAGTTCAAAGCACCACCAAAAGACTGAATTTAAACTGGGTATAAGTTTCTTAGAACAATGAATTTCTAATGGCTATCTTCTATAATATTAACAGAATAATACAGAAGAAGAAAAAATACAAACCCCACTGCAATGGTGACATGCGGACAAGATCTAGCATCTCTGGAGTCAGAGTAATTCCTTTCAGGGAGACTCGTCCCCTTGTACCAGTTGACAGAATATGCCAACGTAAGTCCACTGAAGCTGCAACGTGTTCACTACATATCTGATCCAATTCTAGGCGATCATCAGCAGATATTTTTCCACCTCGATAAAGCTAAAAGCAAATGTCCCAAATTTCATCAACTCTTTCTTTCAACTGCATATCAACAAATTTTAGAAATACATATTTACTTACCAACAGTCTGTAACTTCTGCAACCACCAAATAGTGGTCAGTATTGCAGTCAGCTCCTCTAAAAGACTGCCATCTTCCATCTATCAAGAAGTGATTAATCTGAATTTAAAAGCAATTTAAAAGAGGATAAAACATTTACCTTTGTAAGTTTAGAAAGCGGACAACGATTAACTGGTACAGGGATCCGACACGACTCATTTCCTTCGATTAAGATGCATTTTGATGGAGTGTACTGCAGCTCCAGTTCATGACTAGTAATGTTGGCAACATCCAGAACTAGGTAGAATTGTGAATTGCTGAAATACAGGACACACACACACTACTTTACTTTTCCTTCTATGTACCACTGTACAAAATTTGCAGTGCTTCAAAATAAGAAGCAGATGAACTGGAAGGAAATATAACTCACGTCTCTGCAGGAAGAACATCCCAATTAGTGATCTGAACGGAAGGCAACATTTCAACACTCAGAGTAACAGAACTGAGCCGACAATATCCGGATTCCAGTCCTGCTCCTCCAGAGTACCTCAACTTTAACTGGCCTTCCAGAGTCTGCAAAATATTTTACTATAATTAAAAGGAAAGTATCTGGTAAGACAATTCCAACAGAATTCCTCATACACCAAGTTTAATGAAGATATGTTGAATTTGTCTTTGTGTCATATTCTCAAAAAACTTGTTGCACTTTAGTGTATTTTGAGGTTTGTTTCTAACTTCATAAATTCCTCAGAATCATCAAATAAATTTACAATGAAAAAAAACACAGTAAAATCTTTCAATACTGAATATAAATCCGGGTTCTGGAAAGACAAAATACAATACACTTATATATACAGGCTCTTAACACACACACAATAAACTCCCGTGTAATGAAGCCCAAAATATTGGGTACCTGGTGCTAAAAATTTTGATAAATTTCCCTGCTGTACATTCATAAACACTTTATTAAAATCACATTCATCTGCATTGAATAAAAACAAATTCCAAATAATATATCATCACTATATTTATACATATTCAGTCCAAAATGAAGACTGACTCTATTATCATCATTATCATCATCAGCTATCCCAGTCTTAGGCCCAGCGATATGTTCTTATTGTCTCATGCCAGCATTTGTAGGGTTCCCCTGAAGATCTTTACCATTTTGTTGGTAATGGAGAATTTGGAATGGGATTACTGAGTAGGGAGGTCCAGAATCCTTACAAGATTAATTAAATTAATGTGCTGAAAATTCACCTTTGATGTATTTGGGGCACCAAGTTTAGAGAAGGGTGAGCGAGATGACCCAAGGCTACTTCCTGAGTGACTGCTACCACCTGATCTGTAAATTAAATATGCTTTATTAAAATAAATGAAGGCAAATCCTGGAAACATTACTGGTAGAAAATTAAAAATATAATAGTGTGGTTTCTTCCACTTGTATGAGCTTCACAACAAACTTTCTTGAAAACTGCCACATGGCTTAGAAGAGGGGGAACAGAAACACAAACACACATATGTAATTCTAGTCTCCATTATGAACATTTCAGAGGTCCTTGTTGCCACCTTCATCAGGTCAATAAGCATCACTGTGAGAACCTAAAATCATACTTTTATAAGTTGAATTTGAGCTTAATGTGAGATATCCAGTATCCCAAACATTACATTTTGCAAATTTTAGTGTGTACTTCCAATACAAAATTTAATTCAAATCCATTATATAGCTCCAATTATACAATATGCTGCCAGACATGAAATAATCTCCACATTAAATGATGGCTTTAAGCATTTTGTACACAGAATATATTAAAGACATACTAGACTCACCTGAATGAAGCAGTTAATTCAGATCTTCTTGATGCCTGTTCTCTCCCAAATGTAGGAGAGCTAAGTCGAGATGGAAGAGAGCTCGGACCTGACAAGAAGCTAGCAGGCTGACTGCCATAAGCTGTGCTGCTTACATCTACAAATGAGAAATACAATTTTGAAATAACAAGTGAGATGGCCATAACGTCCACAGAGTAAAGATCAAGGGCAACAATTCTGAGAAATATTCAATGAGAGAATTTATATATTTAATGCCAATGTATCAATTGCATTTAATAACAAATTACTCAACAATTATAAATGGTGAACATATAAGACTGGAAAGAAGCAATCTTGGTTTGCTTTATGGCACTATCTAGCATTTTCCTGGCTACACTAGCATTCAAACAAGAGACCTTCATTACATGAAGCAAGGGCTTAAATAACTATACTAATTGTCTTGGTTACAAAATGATTAAAACAGAGGAAAAGTCATGCCTGTCCATCTGGATGTTTTTTTAACAGAAGGTCTGACAATAAATGATGCCAATGTTTATGAATCTGGTATTGGAAGTCTACAAAAGTTGTCAGAATATTTAATTTTTATTCATGTTGGTCCAATATAGCATCTATTTTACATGAAGCTAAAATTAATCTTCATAAAATGTCACAAAAATGGCTCACATTACAATTGTACATGACAAATTATAAATATCATGAAATTCCACACCTTTCACTTGAAATATTTTTAATATGAAAAATAAATAATAAAATATAAAGGAAAATAATTTCTGCCTCTGTACAGCACCATGCTTGTCATACAATTAGCTCAGAAATACAAAAACACATAACAGTTTTTATGCACAGTAAATTTTTAATTTCCCACTAGTTAATCCACAGTGGCACACATTTGAAAATGTTGCATGTTTTGCTGAATATTCTGTATTTTTAATCAATGAATATCAAAGCCAATGAATTATGAAATATTTCAAAGAAATGCATATTAGAAATAAATGTACTTCAGATTACAGTCCACACTT